CTTCTTCTTCTTCTTCTTCTTCTTCTTCTTCTTCTTCTTCTTCTTCTCCTCCTCCTCCTCCTCCTCCTCCTCCTCCTCCTCCTCCTCCTCCTCCTTCTTCTTCTTCTTTTTTAGACTAAAGGAGGGAAGTGTAGTGGAAGTTTTGGTTTCTGTCAAAACTCAGTAATGTGCCAGGCATGGTGGTACATGCCTTTAATCCCAGCACTCAGCAGGCAGAGGCAGGAAGATTTATGTGAGTTTGAGACCAGTCTGGGCTACAAAGCAAGTTCCAGGACAGTCAGGGCTACCCAGACTGTCTCAAAAAAAAAAAATCAAAACAAAACAAATTGTTATGTTATGCAAACATGGTTTTGTTTGAATCCCAGGTGTGAAATATGGGGCTGCCCCAGATTGCCCACAGGAGCTGACAATTTGTCCCGTGCAGACTCTGAGAGGACCCTGAACTTTGGCAGCTCAGATAGTTTAATTCTGGCAACTCTGAGAGACAATAAATGCCAGAGCCAGGAGAGACCCAGGGTCGGTGGCTCTGAGGAAGAAGAGGGCTGCCGCTTCCCCCTGCTGCTCCTGGTTGCTGTTGGTGCAGTTTGGTGAGAAGTCAGGTCTCCTAACTATGAAGGTTGGACTTGCCCCAAGGAGCCCAATGACCCTAACCTGCAGGAAGAACCTAAAGAGGATTACGGTCCCTTCTACCCACTAAGCTTTCTTTCCTCCTTGGTGTTGGGGAGTTGACAGGGATTGGGGTGGAGGAAGGAGACATAGAAGCCCACAGGAAATAGATCTACAATTAATTGATTACAGAGCTCCAGGTGTACACCTCCACACTCAGGATGGAGCACTGTTCCTGTCTCCACTTAGAGATGGAAACACTGAGTTCCTAGACATTATATAGTTTACGGTGATCAAGAAAAATGATGACGGGCCAGGCACGGTAGCTCAAGCCTATGGGGGGGGGGGCAGAGTCAACCAGTTTCTATGAATTGAAGGCCATCTTGGTCTACATAACAAGTTCCAGACCAGCCAAGGCTACATAGTGAGACCCTTCTCAAAAGAAAGAAACACACAAAAAGAACATAAATGGCTTGAGATGCAGCTGAGTTTAGAGAATGTTTATCTACTATGTTTGATGCTTTGGGTTCAAATCTCAGCACTGAATAAGCCAGCTGTGTCAGCTTCTGGCCTGTAACTCAGGAGACAGGGCAAAGGGGTCAGAACCTTGAGCTTGTGCCCACAAAGTGACATAGTGGGTAAAGGCATTTGCTGTGGCAGCCTGGGGGTGACTTGAGTCAATTCTCCAGGCCCCACATAAAGGTGGAAGGTGACAACTACTCCACAGAGTTTTCCTCTGACCTCACACACACTCACTGTGGCATACACATACCCTCACCCACGCACGGACACATATGTAATCATAAACAGGTGAGTAATTTTCAAAGGCCGTTAATGTGTCTCAGTATCCAGTCTTGATGGCCTGAGGTTGATGTGGACCCATGAGGTGAAAAGAGAGACTCTATCTCAGCAAGGTGCCCTCTGACCTACACACACACACACACACACACACACACACACACACACACACACACTTTTTAAAAATTGAAAAAAGGAGGTTCAGGTCAACCTGTGTTACCCAAGATTGTTTCAAAAGCAAAATAAAGTAGCAGGTGTGGGAAACGCACGCTTCTAATACCAGCATTCTTAAGGCCAAAGCACGCTGATCTGTGTGAGTTCAAGGCCAGCCTGCTGCATATAGCCCACTCCAGGACAGCTAGGCCTGCATAGTGAGACCATCTCTAAAACAGCGAGGCAACACCAACCTCAGCTGAACAACATCAGAAGCCTTGTCAGAACCAAGGATTGCAAGCATGTGAAGAAGAGCCAATGGAGACCCCGCAGAGGCCAAGGCTGTGTGCCACTGCCTTTCTGAACCCAGGGCTTAGGCCCTGCTCTCTCCACCACACACCAAGGAAGGCTACAAGGAGCAGGAAGAGCCACAGAGATGATCCACATGAGTGTTTGTTCAACCTCGTCCTCCAAAGTCAGAGCCCAAGCCTGAAGAGGACCCTTTTAGCAGGGAGAAGGGACCCAGAGGGAGAGGGGAGAGCTGGTGCTGTGGAGAGAACACGGAGGTGCCAGGACTTAGGAACACAGCTGGAGCGCGCCTGCCTGGCACTCACGAAGCTCTGGGTTTCACCCTAAGTTTGAATTCAATACGAGGAGAGGCCAGGCTTGAACTGTGGCCTTCCTGTTTCCAGAGTGCCAACCTGGTAGGTAGGCACCACACTGCCCAGCAGAAGCTGAATTTACCCTGGTGTTCTTTATTTTTGTTTAAACATATGTGCTTGTGTGTATGCCATCCGTGTGCAAAGGCCAGATGGAGGATTACCTTAGGCTGAAACCACAGGCAGGTGAGAGTCACCCAACATGGTTGCTGAGATCTTATCTCAGGTCTTCTGGAAGAGCAGCCAGGGCTCTGAACCTCAGAGTTCCGCTCCAACCCCTTGTTCCTGTACTCGTCACTCCTGACATCCTTAAGCTTAAAAGTTTGGCGTCTATGAGGTGATGGATATGTGTCCAGCAGGGATTGTGGAGGTGGCCTCAAAGGTGTATACTTATTGTAAATTCAGGACATTGCATAGATTATATATGTCCACAGCTGTTGTTTGTACGTGTGTTACACCTTAATAAAATATTTTCTTATCGAGCCAGGGATGGCGTCTTGTACTTTGTCCAAGATCTAGACAAGTATGCTTCCTTTAAGCCATTTCTCCAGCCTGTAAAGTGGGCCTTTAAAAGCACAGTAAAAGACAGTGAGAACATTTGAAGCCAGGAAGTATGCTGTTACACCTCAGGGCTGACCACAGCACATACTTCCCTGGCAGGAAGGAGGTTAAAGTCCTGGAATAAAACCCATGTTAGGGCTGGGGAGATGTCTTGGTGGGTGATGTGCAAGGGAGATGGCCTAAGATTGAACTCTAGAACATTTGTGAAAGTTGGATATGGTGCGCCTGGAACCCCAGCACTTGGGGAGGTGGAGACAGCAGAGCCCAGGGCCTCACTGAGCAGCCAGCCTAGCTGAAAAGCCAGCTCCATGCTCAGTGAGAGACTTGTCTGAAAAATCCAACAGGACCTTTCTATAGGATTGGCCATGTTTACTGCCCCAGAACATTGACCTGCTGGCTGGGTGCTTCATGCACACAGCTGGAGCCCTTCCCCCAGCCTAGGGCTTGGTGGCTGGTGGCCAGCACCTTCCCTCCAGGAGTGGTGGCCACACATTGAAGCCCCTCAAGTACTTGGGTCAGTGTCCATCCGTTTGGGGCTTAGAGGATGCTGGCAATCAGGCTGTCGAACCCTGGCCCAGACCTTCGAGTGGCTGCACTCTTGGATCACTGTCCCTGAGCCTCTAGACCAACTTTGCCTTCTCTGGGGCACTGTATGTGGTCTCCTCAGGGATAAAGCAACTGGTACATTCCACCCTGTGCCCAGTGTTCTTTGTGCTTGTCAGAGGTGGAGCACGTTTTTTTTTTTTTAACAAAGACTTCATTCTCTCTCTCTCTCTCTGTCTCTGTCTCTCTTTTGCTCTCTCTCTCTCTCTCTCTGTTGTTCATGTGGAAAATCAAGCACCACTCTCATTCCAGCTCTGTCTGCTATTGGGGAGGCCCCTACAGATCTTCTTTGCCCCCCACTTCAGTTTCCCTTTGGGCTGGGGAAACGATGAACACAGGGGTCCCTCACTTCTTGAGGGGGGCATCAATGCCTCCAGGTTCTTCCTGTCTGAGGGAGCCCCGGGAGAGAGGTTGTGTCCCTCTGAATACTGTGAGTGCCTGGCTAGTCATGGCCTCTTGGTTCACTGCTTTGCAAACACCACATTTAGAACCTCTGTGGAGCCAGGTGCAGTGGCACATGCCTGTGATCCCAGCACTCAGGGAGGCAGTGGCAGGCAGATCTCTGTGAGTTCAAGACCAGCCTGGTCTACAAAGTGAGTTAGGAAAGTCAAGGCTACACAGACAAACCCTGTCTCAGAAAAACAAAAACAAAAACAATCAACAACCAAAACAGAACCTTTACAGACAATAATATGGACACTGGCCCTCCCTTGCTAGTTTGCTATGGCTGGAAGGACCAGAATCAGCTCTTCCTTCCAGCTTGAGCTCTGCTCACCACCTACTCAGACACCCTTGGGCTGGCAGGACCCCAATTTTTCCT